AAAATTTATAAAAAAATTATGTAATATTAAAAATTAAAAATTACATTTCCAGAATAAAAATAAAAAAATCTTATTCTGAAATGTATCAACTTTAAATAAATCTTTTTATTGAATACCGAATTTGTATAGGATATCGAATCTCTATAACTACGTTTTAAGGAAAAATACTGCACGGATTAAATATAATAACGAATATACTTCCTATTTCCGCGAGTTGTTGCAAGTGTTGTATACAGTTCAGTGGAAACACAGGAAGAGAAAATTGAAAATGAAGAAATAAGAGAAAGACTCCTCAGCACTTTTAGTATTGTACAAAGTGGAAATAGGATCGGGCGAAGGCGAAATTACCTCAAGATGTAATCCCAGAAGACGCAAGTGGGATTGGTGACGTTCTCGACCGCCAGATGTCTGAAATACACTCGAACGGGTTCCGAGAGCTGTATGTGCCGGCCTTTTCCCAAGGACGCCGAGATAACTTTGCTGTTGAGAAGACGAGTAGTGTTCCTCCGCGGCAGTGGCTGGGGATCGTCGTTCATGACGACGGACGGCGGCTCCGCTTGCGGCTGTAGTATCTCCTCGAGTCTGTCAAAGGCCATGAAGACTAGCCGGACGATACCGGCCTCGCTGTTGTCCAGTAAAGCGCCTCTGGTAAGTTCCACGCGATCGTTCGAGACGGTCCACCTTTGCTGGGCGGCTTCGCTCGGGAAAACTTCCAGCTCGTTGCCGATGTTGCGCGCATCCAGTACGCGAACTTCCATTACTGTGGTGAAGACACGCACGCGATTAATTAAGCGAATAAGTGATATCTTTTTCTTGGCGTATTTAACGCGTTTCATGAGAATTCACGGAAAATATGAATTAATTTACAATAAAACAGTAATTATTAAACTTTATACAACGAACATTTATTTTAAAAACATCGAAATTGAAAATTATTTCGTAAGGAATGGATCAATAAATCAATTATTTTCTAATGGTAGAAATTATAGTCAGTTCTTTGTCTCTACTTTTGTTTTCTTTTTCTTTTTTTATGTGACTCTCTACTAATTTATTATTATTAAACTTGTAGTATTAAACTTGTACGCCATGTTTTTTTTCTCAAAACGGTATGGAATACAAAATTTTTATTGATATAATACAGCTTAATACAAAGAAATACTTCTACAGGTCCAATTTAATTTTGCTAAATAGGTCCTGCTAGCTTAATATATAGAAATATAAATAAAAATAACGATAGAAATCGGAACAATTTCATTATTTATAAATAAAATTATACATAAAATTTTGTATGTGATTTTGAAATATAATTTTTTAAAATATAAAATAAAAGCCATTACATAACATTATTAATTAAAAATATATAACATTTTCGCGCAGCTGCGCGTGCTGTATCATAAATTGGAAACTACGCAATAGGAAAAAGTAATTCTTTATTTCTTCGTTTGTTGTATCTACATAATTAAATAAAATTAAAAAGAGTAATTTAATAAAAATTTTGTTTAATTATGTTGTTTAAAATTCATTAAAAAACTCAGTTGCTCCAAATTTACCAAGAGATTTATTTATTGCAAGAAAGAACAATACTCTTTCTCTCTCTCTCTCTCTCTCTCTCTCTCTCTCTCTCTCTCTCTCTCTGCAATCTAAATATAAGTATAATAAATGACTTTATATGTGTGAGCAATTCAGTTTTCTGTGTAAAAATAACACAAAAATGGATTATTACATTTACACGTAGTATAGTATTATTTTTACTGAATCACTGACAGAAAAACTGAATCATTCACACTCATAATTCGTATAAAGTCACTTATTACATACTTGGATTTGGAATGTAGTTTTAACACGTTGTGTAATTTACTGTGAAAGGAGGGATTAAGAATTGATCGCGATATCAATCAATGGCGTTGCCAGGAAGAAGAACTTAATGCGGTTTCGATATTTCTTCTGGAAAGGACATTACACAGCGTCCGACCGGCTGTCGCTCATCAACTGCCCCTCCCCTTCTTTTCTTTTTGCTCTCCGCTGTTATGCAGTTTATCAAGCGTGCATCTGATGATGCACGTACACAGCGGCTCAATCAAGCCGCGACGCACTTCCGGGAAGTAAATCAAGTCGCTCGTAATTCCATCGTCGTTTTGTAATAATAATAGCATGCGCTCGCGCCGTACTCGTCTGGATTATAACGTAATCCGGGCGGGTACTGGAGAATTACGATGGATTCGGATCTGTATTTTATCTAGACTGGAGATTACCGGGTGTTGGATGCGCGAGCGATATAAATCATTCGATCGTTTGCAATGTACGCCGAAGGCGAATGCAACGTGCGTCCGTGACTTTCAAAATACTGAAATGAAAATAATTATTTCGGAGGAAAGACGAATCTAATTACCGTGTTACGTAACTTCACTGTCACGAATTCTTGTGTTTCAAAATGAATGTAATTTGTAATTTTATTGATAACAAACTATATTAATTTACGAATTAATATTATAAATTATGTTTCAAAGATCAAGAAAATTTATAAGTTTGAAACGTATTTTGCCTATATCTGCGTTCACAATTTTCTTTGATATAATAATTTATTTTCTTTTATATTTTAAATTTACAATGTAACAGAAAGTTATAAAATAAATAAAAAGTATATTCTCTCTCTCTCTCTTTCTAGATCTTGTTTAGATTTTAAACTAAATCCTATCTTACATTAATGGAAATCGCAAATGAGATTCTTAACATAATTTCGACATAATGTTCTGTAATTATCTAGGCAATTGGTTACAAGCAAAGATAGTAACTTAATGAAGAGGATATTGAAGTTCTTAATGTCTCCTTACGTGGCTTATAAAGGATAATAAATGCATAGTCCGATAAAATGTTCTGTAGCAATTACCAATCATCATTAGTAGTACTCACATATGTTTTTGCCTTCATGCATAATGGTCTTCTCCTGCAGAAGCGTGTCGGCCAATAAGAAAGCGTTCTCCTCGAGACCGATCAGCAGCGATGTTGCGACCCTCATCTGTTCCTGATGACTAAGATCCTTCCAGGACGCCATTTGCGCCTTGTCGAGCAAATTGCTACCGGTCCTCACTACGCCCTGGAGCAACTCTGTGACGCTGACCTCCCTCTGATTAGAATCTTGGTAGGTTTTAATGTCCAGGGCCATCTTCTCGGCCATATTTTTAATGATCTTCGTAGTTATCATCATGTCGCCGCCGTACAAACCGCGGCTGTTATTTGTGACTTGCGAGAGCTCCCTGCTGATACCGAGAATCACGTCGCCGTCCGTCACACGGTTTTCCAGGGTGGTCAACCAGACTGATCGACACTCGCTCAAATCTGGATTGTCGCGATGCCAGAAGGCGGATTCTCCGCGGGCCAGACACCGCCATCTGGCCAGACCATTGGCACCGCCGGGGCAGCTTTGTACGGCCACGTCGCCAGCCCTGGTCGTGTTCCAGGACAGATTCCGGGCTACTACCGGAGGACACACTTGTCTATAGTCATACCACGGGCTTCCATTCGAAGTAGACTCCGGGTATAGTGTGCTGGGTACTGTAACAGTATGGTTCAATCAGTATGATCACTAAGTGGTCGCCTAAGCTAACGACTACAGTTAACAGCTCGGCGTTAATGCGATACCGACGTCGCGGCGTCCTCGGGGATACAGTTCGGAGTGCAACGATGCTCGAAAATGGAATTTCGGTTAGGAGTCCCCAGGAGATCTTAATGCTTTGTCGCAATCAAAGAAGTGCTATTTACTCACCGGTTTATAAATTACTAACAAGAATGTGTTCATTGTACAATAACAAAAGCAAACAATAACTAAAACTATAATACAACAGATATTGACAACCTGCCTTTAGACACTGTTATCACAATAGCTATAATGCTTTGATCATCTATTATGCTTAGGCGCTGTCTGATACGAACGGCTTATCCTCAAAGTCAATTCATAGATAACCAGGAAACCAGATATATTGTAGCTTAATTATTTCTGTGTAAAGACGTTACCATTGTTATGAAAATATAAGATTATTTCACGTAAACGGTTTCACATAAACGGTTAATTAGTTATCGACAAAGAAATTTCTAAGGATCTCTAAATTCTAAGAATTATTTATATTCGAAGATATGTAAAACGATTTTATAAAAATATCAAAATGGCATTGTTTAGTTCTACCGAGATATCAATGTTAAAAATGGCGTATTTAATGTTATTATATAATGACGTTAACTAATGTTTCCCCAGAAGAAAAGAAAATCTTACCGGTGGTCCTTCGGCTGGTTCTCCAAGGAGCGAAGGTAGATGTTGTCGTAGCTTGAGTGGTCTCAAATATAATCGGCGGCATTGCCGGGCCATTCGCCGGAGAACCATTCGCAGGAGGTATTAAATCCTGATCTTCCTCATCGACTTCGATGTCGGCAGAGGACCTTGTTGACGTAGAACTGAAAATGGAAGGATCTCATTATTATCGATGGTTCTCGTCCACACCGAACTTTATGACGACTATATAGATTATGCTTGATATAAATTAATGACATCAAAGAAAATATTTGTTTTCGTTATACAGACAGTGATTGAAGGAAATTAATGGCCAACGCGCAAAATAATATGCAGTGGGAAAACTTTGTTCCAACATTTTCGTTCTGTTATATTTTTATGTGTATGCATAATAAATATTATACTAAACAATGTTTAATATGTATATTTGATTTCAAATTAAAATCCAAAATACTTGACTTTTCCTCTGGAGCTGGTGAATTTATTGGATATCTATTCAATTATAAATCTCAATTATAAATCTCTATCAAAAGTGTGTTAAACACTTTAATTTTCTTTATATTACGTTTGTGAATTTGAATTACTCTTATTAAAATATATTTATTATTTCTTCTTTTTCATACAAGTTATGTCACTTTAGTTATTTGAATTTAATTGTGCCTTTAACTAACATAAATTAAGTGGGTCTTACAAACTCAACATCAGTAATCTGTGTTAGGTTTTGGCGTCAACTCCGGGGAGTTAACTAATCGAGTCACATATTTCAGACTTTTATGTTTATGTAGCCCACTGACCTCGCCGGCGTCGTTATCGGCATCACTGGAGTGGACGGCGCCGGTGGTTGTTGGTGTGGCTGTTGCGCTGGTGTCGTAATCCTCGAGGGAGGCCTGACAGTTGGCTTAGCGGTGCTCCAGACACTCGGTTGTGAAGTTATGAACCACGGCGGACTCGGCCGGGATGTCGTCGTGGTAGTGGCCGCTGTGAATATTTCGTCAAGATCGCTTTAATGAGGACGGGAAAACGGGCAGTATTTTAGGAAGGAGCTTTAGCACAAGAGGAAAGGGGATCAGACAGTTCGTCTACAAGCTTATTGGATTCAAAGACTGAGTATAATTAAGAAGGAAAACGATTTCAGAGGTGCAGGATATTTAAAGCTTTCGAGAGGTCTCTTCGGCTCAGGAATATCGAAGTGTTCTCTCTTCTCTCTTTTACTCCCTATCTCTCTCTCTCTCTCTCTCTCTCTCTCTCTCTCTCTCTCTCTCTCTCTCTCTCTCTATTTTTCTCCCTTTTCCTCTCAGATTGATATGATGGAAAGTTTATCCACCGCGTCGAATTTATATTAGACTCTTGTTAATCATTCGATAGAGTTTGAACGAACTGTCTGTACTTTGCGTATATTCCCGATAGACCGAAGGGAATGAGATATCCGGGGTTTGGAAATACCGAGGTACTCTCATCTCTGTTTTTCTTGGCTCACTACGTTGGAAAGAGCTTATCCACTGTATCGGATTTATATCAGATTTTTGTTAATCGTAATTATTCGATAGAGCGCTTAAGTAAATCTCTTTTCGAAAACATTAAATATAGATATAATAAATAATATTTGAATTTTATTAGAATATTTAATGCGTTTAACTGATTAAACTAGTTTGCAGATTTAAATTTATGTTGTGATAAAATATAAATAGTAAAACAAGACTTTTAAAAAGAAATAATGCAAAAGAGACACGACAATTTTTAGATTATAACAACTTTGAAATTTTATTAAAATAAAAAATTTAAAAAAAATAAAAATATTATATAAGCACAAATAATACAGGCATAAAAATTTTTTTTAATTTGGCGATTAGGCCATGGTATTTTTATACGTATTTTGACGTTCTAAAGTGGAATCCGAAGTTTAATTGCTCCATCATGTTACAATTTTTCTCTATCGACGGATAGAGAGAGAGAGAGAGAGAGAGAGAGAGAGAGAGAGTTCGATTTTTCAATATATTTAACCTACTAACTTAGATATTAACTTTATAAACTTGTATATTATCATTGAACTTATTTTCATTCATTTATCTCAACTTGTATATTAAAAATCAGACCACAAATATCTAAAAGTATTGGAAAATTGAGTTATTTTCCGTTGATAAAAAAAATTATAATGTGATGGAGCAATTTAGATATCGAATTTGATTTCAGACTGTCAAAATATATAAGAACATCATGGACTAGTTTCTGAATCAAATATTAAATTTTGTTTCGTGTGCTTATATAATTACTAAGTACTTCCATTAAAATTATCTCGTCTATGAAAAGTCTATTGTCATTTTTCTCCAACATCAAAGATAAAAGAAAATTTTCTGCTTTTTTCTTGAAAAGGATGAGTTTTATAATTGCTGAGAGAATATTATGAATAAAAATTAAACACTCTGCCAGTATATAAATCGTTCAAAGGACATTTCGCGAATAAGACATTCAAATGGTCAAAGAATAGATAGGTAGAGAAAAAGAGAGACAGAATATAAGAGATTAGACTGCACAGCTCCATATCGCGACTAAATCTAGCCGTGAAGGGGAAAACGATCTTTAACCTCCAAGATGGCGACGACAGTTAATTCCAGAACGGGATGGTCCACGTATTTCGCGATACTATCTCTATAGAGGTCATCTTTATTGTCCGAAAGGGTTTGCGATAAGGTAAAATACCAAACGTCGCTGATATTCATTACGATAATCGCGTGCGTAAAGGTAAAACGCTTACGTGCAAATCGAAAAGAGAAGAGGAATCGATTTCTGTGACAATGTTGGAAACTACAAAGACTGTTTGCTAATATATATTGATAGCGTAGAACTGGAACCCGATCTGTTGAACACGAGATTGCGAGACACATGAAAACAACGATGGAAGATAAATAGGAAAGACGAAGAGGATTATTTAGGTATCATTATTAGAAAGTAACAACATGTTGAAGGAAAACAAATTGATATTTGCATTTAATATATACCATATATTTAACATTATATTAAAATGATTTAAATGTTTAAACATTATTTTAATGATTTTACTAAATATTGATTATATCAATTATGCTGATTGTTAATTATACTAACACAAAAATTCAAGAAAAAAGCGTTAATAATAAATAATGTAAAAAAAAATTAGTTTAAAAAAAGTGTATATATTTCAAATAAATTGTCAAAATTTATTTTTCAAATTGCATCTCAAAAAAATATCTCAAAAATAATTGTGCTATTTATACTTTTAAAAACAATTATGATGAGTTTTGTGGAATTTCCTGCAAAGGAATAATGTCCAATAACGTTAAAAAAAATTACAAGATAAAATTGGGGTAAAAATGGAAGAGCTTTACTTACCGGACACGCATCGATAATGCGCTTCGAGATATTTGTGTGTATTCGGGCAAGGATCGCCGAATTGCAGCGTAGACGCAACGATGCTGCAGTTCTGCTGGTCGTTGCACCTGCACGGGGATTCGACTCGCGTTTAACAAAATGACTATGGTACACCCTTACCACGTGTACCGCCATGGATCCAGCCCTGTTTCTTTCCTTTCCTCCATAGATGGGAAAAAAGAGCAATGCTCTTGGAGAGAAACTTTTTCGTCGAAATTCGTCCAAAATTCGTTCAACTCGTATTCTTTTATTGAAGCCTAACAGCCTTAGTGTAATAAGTTTATGAATATTGTTATTCTTAATTCTTGAGTTTTTCTTCACGATTCATTCATTTCAAAGAAAAATATTTGTAAAATATTAGTTATTTAAGCGTTATTGTTTTTCAATATTAGAGGATTATTATAAAAAGTAAATCAATCAGGCAAAATTATAAAATAGTAAAAAAATTGAATTAAATAATAAAGAAAAATTTGATTTTTTTCTAATATCAAATAAAATTATAAAACAAAATAATAAAAAAAAGTTATTTATAAAAGAAAAAAATTTTTAAGGTATATAATGTCTGAGCATATTGTTTAACATCGATGATCAGGTTATAAGACGAAATAAATCTTTGCTCTTCAAATTACAATTCCAAGATCATGAGGCTCTTTCGCAGCACATGAACGAAAGACGAATCTCTTGAGATTTCTCGCGTAAATCCGCAGCCGCGAAAAACGACATCGGAATAGAAAAATGTGAACCAACCTAAACACTGGTAGTGAGCCTCGATGTACTTTCCGGTCCCAGGACAAGGGTCTTCCTCGAAAACGTCGCTGCGCACGTCCACCGAACAGGAATTACGATGATTGCACCTGCAATCGTCACGTGTGCGAAAATGTCACCCAGCGGAACGACTTTATAGAGATTTCCAAATTCTTCGTAAAATCACTAGCTGAGAATCAGGTGAGCACAACGACCCCGCGTATTACTATTTCGAGACTTGCGTAGGTTTAACTCTCTTTCCCTCAAAAATCTTTTTTAATATTTAACAAAATATTTATGCTTGATATTTTGCTTAGTCATACTCTATAATTTGATATACAAAATTTCGAAAGACATAATAGGAAGTATGATTAAATTAAAAAATTTTTTTCGCTTTTATAAAATTCACAAAGGATTTCACTGCATTTAAAGGCTAAATTTGGTACACATTTTAGTAGCAAGTGATAATCAATTTATGAAGTGTATTAAATCATTTTATATTTCTCGAGCATTTTCGAAAATCTTCGCTCAGAGAACAAAAGCAATTTGTTAGTCTCACTGCAATTTTGGAACAAAAGCTCGGTTCTCCCGTTCGCGGAGCTTCGTTGCATCCGTTATATCACGGTTGTTCACGTGTGTATGTATGTGTTAGCGTGTGACAGTAGGACAATGGGTTAGTAATGACACGTTCGCAACAGTTTCAGACATAAGCACAAGTTAGGCGCTCGAGGTAAGACAGACGAGGATTCTAGTCCCAGATCCGGACAAACGAACGTATGTGTGCATGAGAGAATATGTATATAGAGAAGTGTGTCAGCACCGAATTACAGAGCCCGCCCACAATATCCCACGGTGTATATATACAAAGATTAACCGCATGCAGAGAATGTTCCTCCATTTCGAACGTGAACGAATTATTTGCGCAGCTTGCGTTTGCGACAAATTATGTCGATATATTTATATAAATTCGTATCACTTGACTTTTACATGCGGTAACGATTCATTTCTAGATAATGGCGACGGTAATGAGATCTGGGTTTCTTTATTCAACTAAATTAACATTCGTAATGAAACTAATGTTGTTGCGTTAAAACCGATTCGCCGATTCGTTTGAGTGTGCTTCGCTGACTGAAAAGATAACACAGATCTTTTTTTCGCAGAACTTTCCGTTAATTTAGTTTTGCGTTTGTTAAATCTTTCTCTCTCTCATGGTGTATTTGAAGCTCGTGTTAACAGAGAGAATAATCATGGCGAATTTTACCCGCGTGACAAAGTAAATTTTTCTTGTGCACGCGAAATCGCGACACTTTAAAGGACAAAGCGGCGCGGCTCGTCGGCGATCGTTAGGTTGCGGAATTATTCTCTTTCGAGAGAATCTCGGCAATTCACCGCCGCGTTCTCGCTATAACTACGGAACTTGAAAATATTTAGTATCACAGTATTGTCGTAATAAACTTTCCACCCCGCCGAACTGCCGAGCACGCTTGACATGATTTCTTTCCGTTAAAGATTTCTTCGTTGACAGATTTTCAAAGAGGAACTCTCTCGGAAATTTTCCCTCAAAGTACAATAAGGATGGACAGAGTGTTTCATCTCAAGACGAAGGTTTCAATTAAATATCAGCCAATTTTTTACAACTTGCATTAAAGTAATTTAAAATAATCGCCCGATAAAGACAATTTATTCTTTATAGTAATATATGTGTTTTATGTGTGTATAGTTAGATGAAATCTAAATCGTTCCTGACCTATCGCACTTCTTTTAAATGGAATCTATATTCATTTAATGGAATATATAGTTCCATGAAAAAATTTGTATTTAATTATAAAATTATATTGCTAAATATAAATATTGATCTCTTACTGATTCATATCTATATAACATGTATTTTCACTTTTCACACGTATAATATATAAATTTTCAATTCCAATCACTTTTTTGTAGAAACTATACATCTGATACATCTGATACATCCTTAATTCTCTTTTCTTTGTTAGAAGCGTGATAACATAGAAGTATTGCTGTTACATTTCAACAAATGATTAATTAAAGGAAAATTAGATAATTAAAGTGGTTCTTTATTCAATTATGTGGTTCCATTCCATTCATAAAATCAAACATAAAAGTATTTTGTATCGAAAAATAGAGATCATAGCTCAATTTTATGCATAAGAGTTTAAAAATTTTATTTATACCTTTGCTTAATCCATCAAAGTAGTATTCCAAGATAGTAGATGCGAACTTTGCACCTACAGGTTGTTTATCGCAACGCGACTCGACGATCGTTGCGCTTGTTTTAATGGTCCATTCGCTAGTCCGAGATTACCCAGCGGACATAAAGGTTGTCGTTGCACAAGTGCAATATCATTCGGCGAAACTGAGATTTAACGTAACAATTTTATGAGAGCGCGATGTAATGCGATACTTCATTCGCAAGTGCGACCAGCGTCGCAGAAATTAAATTATCTTGCTTTGATCCTTGAACGCTGGAAAATCCAAGTTGCCGTGTTGTAAATGTTATTTTTTTTTGAAGCGATTGAATGAAATTAAGATAGATCCGTGCTCAGTAAATTGTGACTAATTCAATATTAACTAATTCAACATTATTATTCTGTTTAAAGTGGATGTGAAATTTTGACTGTTTTTCAGTTAAACTGAAAAAAATTCCGAGATATATAGATATATTATAAATCTCGGAATTTTTTTATTTTAGTTAGCTGAAAAACTCAGCATCCTCCTTTATTACATCATTATATCATTCTGATTAATAAGATAGAAAAACTCTTAAAAAGTAAAAAATTTGTACAGAAAATAGATTTTATATTAAACACAAAAAAAAGATTTTTTTTTATAGTAGCTGTAATTTTGTTATAATATATTTGCTATCGTAACTATAAATTTATAAACTATAGCAAAATGGTTTGCTATTGCTGCTATAATATAAATATCACAGCTAAGACATTAGCTATGATATCTATATTTTAGTTGTCCATATTTTACACCTGCCATTTACCATGTTCTTAGTTACGACAGCTACTTTCTTTTTTCAAATAAAATTATTAAATATCAAATTCTAATCGCCAATAATAAGAGAGAAACAAGTTTTTTTGAATAAAATATTAGTAAAAAAAATAAATTTTAGAAAAAATACATTTTAAATCAAGAACAAAGCAATAGGATTAAAAAATACATTTATGCTAATTTTTTTTAAATTTTAAGATTGAAAGTCTATTAAAGGATATTTTTAAAGTATTCGATGGCAAAAATTTATTTGAAGCATTTTACTTTTCAATGAATATTTTAGATGTTTAAAATGAATGTAACAGTAGATTCTTTCTTTTATTGATTTTAATTCACATAATAATCGCGCGCAAGAACTGTAGCGGTCACTGTTTGCGTCAGTTTACGGTCGTCGCTTCCCAAAATTCTTGCGGGTACGCCGCGAGCACAAGTCGAAAGCGAGTCGAGAGCGAATCAAGAGCGAATTCAAAGTGTATCGACGTTTCAGTACGTAAACAATCGATTCATTGTCAGTTGAACAGTGATTGAACATATTTCTCTTCATCCGCAATGTGCGTTATTCGCGAGTGTCGCGAATACCGAACGAGTTAAGGCACATATCACACTATGCATTGCAGATTAAGGATTGCGAATTGAAGATTAGAATTCAATCAATCAGAAAGAAATGAATTGAAATTAAAATAATCTAACTGGTTAAATTCTAATCTCTGATTTGCAATCCTCAATCTCCAATACGTAGTGTAAAACCAGATTAGAGCTTGAGTTTGAGATTAAATTTTATCAGTTAAAATAAAGGTTATTAAACTTAACATTAATTTTGTTTCTTTCGATTGGTTAATTTGTTAATTGATTAATCAATCTCAATTTCTGATACGCGCTTTAACAGAACATTTGACATTCCGGTCAATCCGCAGCGGATCTAAGTCCTGAAGCGAATCTAGGATCAGTATTCATATAGTTCGTTTTTATTTCAAGATTGTGGTTAGGTATATCATATGGCGAATTCGATTGAATGCATTAGTACATAGCCATTGCACTATTTTAACCTGAATGTGAAAGTGAAATGCAAATATTTTGAATTATAAAATACGTGAAATATTTTATCAAGCAACAATATAAATATATTCAAAATTACGCAGTTTTTAACTAGTAGTTTAACTCGTTGCTGTAGTATTTATATTAAATACACTTCTTTATGTCAATTTGTATATGACGATAGTGCATCCAATGCGCTGATCCGAGAATAGTCACCTGATTTTTTTTTACATAAACGATAATCTGAAGTGTTTTTACACCTCAATTA